TTAATTTATTTTACAATATGTATAACTTAAAAAAAATTGAAATCAAACCTCCCAAACGGCTATATAGCCGTTGGGGCTATGGGTGGGGGGCAGGGGGGTCTCGGGGGTGGTGGTGTGGGGAGTGAGGTTCAAAAACATCTATAAATACATCTATTTTCTAACATTTTTCTACACCTCTTCTTCAATTCTTCTCCAACTCTTGTCCATCTTCATCTTCTCTTATTATCCTACATTCCTAAAATCCTACTTATACATATACCATTTTAAATATGGAAAGTACATCTTCTCTTATGCAAAACAATTTTGACAAGTGGAAGGACCCGAAGACCGGACTGTGATGGGCAACTTGCAGGTGGTGCAAGAAAGAGTGTTGCTTGGGGCGTTCACACGGATGCGGGATGCCAATAAAACATATGAAGTCCTGTGACAAAGGGAAAACAACAACCAACGGTGGCGGAAATCCCAATTGATATTTGATACGTTTGTAATTTCCGTGTGTTTATTTACGTTTTTAGCTAGTTTTGGTTGTTTAATATTTCGGAAATTACACACTTTCGGTGTAATAGTTTAGTTTGTTAAATTCTTGTAATTTGTTTAGATTAGGTTTATTCTGAGCTTAAACAGGTCCAAGATCAATCAAATGATCAATGGTGAAGGAAGGTGCAAGAGTACAAGACAAAAAGAAGGAAAAATCCTGATTTTGGTCTATACTCGATCGAGTATATACATATACTCGATCGGGTATCTGGTTGACATTTCAAATCGGATCGGATCCGAAAACAAAGGAACATGCAGGAGAAGATTTTCCCACGTTCGAGTGTCTATACCCGATCGGGTATACTTATATACTCGATCGGGTATAGCTATAAAAACTACCCGAGTATTGATCGAGTATAGGGCGAATTCGATGTTCTACACATACTCGATCGAGTATGTATATATACTCGATCGAGTACTCGATCCTGCACCTCAAAAAGCCTATAAATACACCTCCTTTCCTTCACTTTTAGTCACCAATTTCTTTATACTCTTAGGCTCAGCTTAGAATAGCATTTCTTTATATTTCTTTTAGCATGTTTAGTCTCCAAATGAGGAGCTAAACTTCCATTTCTTGGTATTGCTCTTGAAGTTTGTTGATTATTAAAGTTGTGAGTTATTTTCTTAACTTCTTTTCCTTGAATATTAATTCTTCCTTTAAATACTATTTCTATATCAATGTGGGGAGTGTTACTAAGATGACAATTAGTTAACATCTTGACATTGGTTTTAGTAATAGCTATTCCTTCCTCTATGTTAATATCGGGGAGTGTTACTAAGATGACAATTAGTTAACATCTTGATATTTAACTATAGTAGGATTCATTCCCTTTAATATTCTTCCTTGAGTATTAATTAATTCCTATTCATATTTCATATTAATATTTTGAACATTACTTAAAGGATCAACTAGTTTTGTTTCACATATTAATTATTACTAGAAACGATCAACGAACCGATGGTTAATCGTTGATAGTTTCACAAGTAAGTAACTTCGGTTTGTTAATGCACGGTCGTGGTTAATAAACTTAAGAGGGATTAATTTTGTTGGTTAAACCGAGACCGTTGTGTTAAGGTTATCAATCTCAATTGATTTCATCAAGGAGTTAAAAGATTAAATGCTACTATCAAGTCGGTATATGGCGTTGTTCTATACTTGACTAATAGTAAGGGTTATTAATGAACGGTTGTTGTTAATAACTATCCTCGATGAATTGGATATACTCCTCGATTGAGTATTCGAGAGGAGATAAGTTATAGATATAACAATGATCGACTAAAATATATCAACAAGTGGAAAGTAGCAATGCCAAGTCACTTTTATCTTTGAATTAAACCACATAACTCGTTCATCTTCGTGTTTAATTTAATCACATCTACAATCAAAACCCCCCTTTTACCTACTATTTATATAAAAAGAAAGTTATTCCTTTCCCTGTGGATACGAACTCTACTTCACCTATACTACGTATAAGTGTTAGTATTGAATTTACTTTGAGTGCACTCACGACAAAGTGCACGTCAAATTTGGCGCCGTTGCCGGGGAAAGGCAATTATTTTTCTTTTTATTTTATTTCAAGAAAAAATCAAAAAAAAAAAATATATGGTTCAAAGTATAAAGATTTCTATTTCTGCTGAGCTTTGTAGTACATGGTAAAATATCGTTCACTGAACGAAATCACATACCACTCAAACCCCGAAATAGAACGAACTCTCGAGCGGTTGAAAAACAAATTTTCAAACTCCGACTCGGGAGAATCATCAAGCACTAGTTCTCAATCTAGTGAAACCGAAGAGCCAATCACCATGGCTCATGAAACGAGAACATTAAGGGAGCTCACGGCTCCGAATCTAAATCAACAACCCCTTTGTATCACTTTCCCAACTCTTGATACGGGGGTCACATTCGAGCTAAAATCTGGGCTCATCCATCTACTCCCATCTTTCCATGGCCTACGGGGGGAAGATCCGAACAAACACCTTTCGGAGTTCCATATTGTGTGCACAAGCATGTGCCCCAATGGCGTGTCCGAAGAGCAAATCAAGCTGAGAGCTTTTCCTTTTTCTCTAAAAGACACCGCCAAGGACTGACTATTCTATCTTCCTTCGGGGAGCATCAACACATGGGCTCAAATGAAAAAGAGCTTCCTCGACAGGTATTATCCCGCATCTATCTCTTCAAGTCTCAAAAAGCAAATCAGCAACATTGAGCAAGCCGATGATGAGACCTTGTACGAATATTGGGAGCGCTTTAAAAAATTATGCGCTAGCTGCCCATATCATGGATATTCGGAACAAGATCTCATCCTCTACTTCTATGATGGGCTTGTTGATCAAGATAGACGCATGGTGAATGCGGCATGTGGAGGGGGCATTGTCAACAAAACCCCTTCACAAGCGAGAGAACTCATCTCGGAATTAGCCGAGAACTCCAGACAATATAACGGGCGGTCCTCAACTCGGAGAGTTATGGCAGCAGAATCCAACAACACGTTGGAAAGTCAAGTGAACGGCTTGACAAGTCAAGTGACCGGCTTGACTTCTTTGGTTAAGGATTTCCTTTTAAAATCCAAGACCCAAGAAGTCAAGGTCTGCGGTATCTGTACACAACACGGGCATCCCACGGACTCATGCCCAACTCTTCAAGAAGACACCACAGAGCATGTCAACGCCTTGGGTTTCCAAGGCCACCAACAAAGGAGGTATGACCCGTTCTCAAATTCTTACAATCCCGGATTGAGGGATCATCCAAACTTAAGGTATGGAAACCCTCAACAAGCCAACCCACCTTCTCAATCGAGTATGTCTACGGAAGACATGATTCGAACTCTTGCTACTACCATGGGCACCTTACAACAAAACGTGGTGCAATTTCAACAAGAAACAAAGTCAAGCATTCAAAATTTGGAAACTCAAGTTAGCCAAATTTCGAATGCTATAAACCGACTTGAAGCAAGAGATTCGGGTAGGCTTCCCTCCCAAACTGAACAGAACCCAAGGCAACAAGTCAATGCCATCATGCTAAGGAGCAGCCCGGAATTGCAAACAAGGGAAGCTGAAAAAGAGGAGATTGACCACAAGGAGGAGGAGCCAACGAAGACAAAATTCCCTCCGCTGTCATCATATGAACCAATCCCTCCATTCCCTGAGGCATTGAAAGACACAAGGAAACTAGAGAGTGACCGGGACATCTACGAAACCTTCGCGAATTGTGAGGTAAATATTCCACTCTTTAAACTGGTCAAAAGTGTTCCCCGTTATGCAAAGTTCTTAAAAGAACTATGTATAATGAAAAGAAAAGATAAATTAAAGGGGAAACAAAAGGTTGAAGTTAGTGAACAGGTCTCGACCATCTTTCAAGAAAAATTTCCAAAAAAATGTGGCGACCCGGGCATGTTCACCATTCCTTGCACGATAGGAAACACCACATTTCCTAAGGCCTTACTAGATTTGGGGGCATCTATAAACGTCATTCCTTATTCCGTTTATAAAACCCTACAACTTGGCCCACTACATCAAACCGGTGTAGTGATTCAACTAGCAGATCATTCTAGTACCTACCCGAAGGGTGTATTAGAAGATGTGCTAGTAGAAGTAGAGAATATGGTTTTTCCCGTCGACTTCTACGTCCTCGAAATGGGGAATGATGACCGAACAGCGCCCATCCTTTTGGGAAGACCCTTCTTAAAAACCGCAAAAACAAAAATCGACGTGTCTAGTGGTTCATTAACTTTAGAGTTCAATGACCAAAAAATAGAGTTCAATATCTTTGACTCTACGAAAAAACAAATTAAAGATCAATCTCTTTGCTCTTTAAATGTTTTTGAACCACCAACACCAAATGCTTCAATTGAGTCGGGAACAAAGAAGAAAGGTCGGCCTTACTGGAAAAGGGCAAAGAAAAGAAATGACGAAAGGGATGCTCACGATCCCACATAAAATAAAAATAAAAATAAAACGTCGTGCCACGACGTTAAATAAGGCGCTTCTTGGGAGGCAACCCAAGTCAATTAGTTAGATTTTATTTTCTTTTTGTGTGAATTTGAGAGAAAAGAGAGAGAGGGAACTAATCACATGTTTGTTTTGAAGAAGAAGAAAATACAGGTTTTGAAGTATCTGGGAGCATACTCGATCGGGTATATCTCTGTACTCGGTCGAGTATGAACTGAAATAAGAGAAAAAAAAAAATCTGTCTCCAGTACTCGATCGAGTACATGATCATACTCGGTCGAGTATAACGGGAAAAAGAACTTTATTTCATCCCTGCCTCCAATACTCGATCGAGTATATGTTGATACTCGGTCGAGTATGCTCAGAAAAACCAGTTTTCCCAACCCCTGTCTCCGGTGCCCGATCGGGTATACAGGGATACTCGATCGGGTACCCCTGCGATTAATACCCAAACAACACCTATTTTTCACTTCATCTTCTCCAAAACACTCCCAACTTCGAACCCCTCTCCCCCAAAACTCCATTTTTCCACCTTCTCTCTACCAAAACTCCCTCATTTCTCCACCAAATCATCCCATTTCACCACCAAAATACTCCCCTCAATCCCCTCTCCATATCTATACCCATAAATCCCACTTTCCCCAAACATCCACAAAATCCAAAAACCCTACCCCAAAATTCGAATTTTTGGTTCTCAAACTCAAAAGCTTCAAAAAATGGCTCCAAGGAAGAATAGGGGAGAAAGCTCAATCACCATAGCACCCATCCCGGGCTTTGAAGACATCATTCCCGCCGACGCCGAACACCGAACTAGACTCCTAGCAACAACAAAAAGGCAAGTAAAACCTTCCCGTTTTCTATGCCATGATGCTCTACGAGAATTAGGAGTCTATAAGAGTATGAAAAGGTTCTTTTATGAGTTGAATATGGATCGTATTTTCAAAATGAGATACAACTCAAATGCAAGAATTATCTATGAATTCATAAGCTCGGTGCAATTTGAGAGTGATGAGGATGATTTTAGGGATGATAAACTCAAGTTTCGTTTATTCAATCAAAATTATTCGATTACAAAACTTGAGTTTGCCGAACATTTTGGCATCCCCGTGCCCTACGAGAGAGCTATCTCGGATACCACCATTTTTGGGCACTCCCTATGGACAAAGATGACCGGGGAAGTGCAATTTAGTTCATCCCAAATGTACATTAGTCATGTCCAACACCCTGTTCTCCGGTTGTTCTTGAAATTCTTAGCCAATTGCTTGCTTGGCCGTCCCAACAACCATCACACTCGAATCGGGGACGTGTGTTTAATGTCCGTGGCGTTATTCCGTCGTCACGTGGATTTTAATTTGTGCAATCTCATGTGGGCACATTTGAAGAAAGAAAGCTTAGCAAAAGGGGCCATAGTTGTGGGGGGAGTGATAATGCACTTGGCAAGTAAGTTCGGGTATACGGACAACTCTCCTATACCCGACTATTGCTTGATGGATATGGGTTGGCTAGGACGCTCGGGATGTACATCTTTCTCCCATACGGTTTATATTGGAGATCAACCAAAAAACATGTATAATTGGGTCATACATGTACAACCTGTCCAATACTTCCTAATGCCAAGCCAAGACACCCCCAAACTACGCTACAAACCGGAGTTCGAGGAGCCTCACTACCTATTCCCTCACGCCCTCCCACCACATTTCCAAGAGCCTCAAGCCCAAGAACCCCCCGAAGATCAACCCGACCAAGAACCTCAACCCGAGCCACACGAACCCGAGGATGCACTTCCCTACATACCCGAACAAAACCCAACTTTCCCACCCCCCGATTACTTCCAACAACTCCTTGAAGGGTTCAACAAAGTCACCAATGAAGTTGGGAAATATCGGGAGGAACAAAGAGCGGGATTCCAAAAACTAGAGGAACAACGGGCCGAAGACAACCGAAGGTATGAAGAAGATCAACGTAGGTTCTATGGACCTATGTATTCTTACATGGCTCATCAAGGCCAATTCCACACCATGGCTCAACCACCACCACCCCCCTCTTGGTATGACCCCACTCAATGGGGCAACTTTGGAGGATCAAGCTCCGGGGGTGGAGGTTATGACGGCGGGGACGGCGGGGATACTCATATGGGTGACGGAAACTTTGGAGGCGGATTTGGAGGCGGCTTCTACGGTGGAGAAGGCGGGCACTAGGGACAGTGCGAAACTAAGTGTGGGGGAGGACTACATCTTTTGGTATGTTCCATTTACTGTTTTTTCTACCTTGTACTAAGCATTATTCTCTTGTACTATAAGTTACACAAAAAAAAAAAAAAAAAAAAAAAAAAAAAAAAGAGAATAAAAGAAAAGAAATGCTAGTTAGGTTGAAAACCCAACAAAATGGGCAATCTAAGCAACAAAGGCTTACAAAATAAAATGAGTGAGTGGTGAAAGATGAAAAGAAAAGAGATGCTAGGATGAAAACCTGAAAAGGCTCCTAGGCAAAATGAGAGATATGAGAGAAGTATTTGTTGTGTGCAGGAACTCATGTGATCTCTTGAAGAGAAAGAGGAGAAGGCAAAGAAGAAGAGGCAAGAAGATGGAGCATAGAAGATCATAAAACCCAAGAAAAAATATTGTTTTGTAAAATCATTTTCGTATTTCTTGGTGGTCTTAGTTCCTTTCTTTCTTGAACTCATGGAATGATCTTAAAACTGTTTGAAACATTTTGACTTTACTCGAGGACGAGTAAAGAACTAAGTGTGGGGGAGTTGATACGTTTGTAATTTCCGTGTGTTTATTTACGTTTTTAGCTAGTTTTGGTTGTTTAATATTTCGGAAATTACACACTTTCGGTGTAATAGTTTAGTTTGTTAAATTCTTGTAATTTGTTTAGATTAGGTTTATTCTGAGCTTAAACAGGTCCAAGATCAATCAAATGATCAATGGTGAAGGAAGGTGCAAGAGTACAAGACAAAAAGAAGGAAAAATCCTGATTTTGGTCTATACTCGATCGAGTATATACATATACTCGATCGGGTATCTGGTTGACATTTCAAATCGGATCGGATCCGAAAACAAAGGAACATGCAGGAGAAGATTTTCCCACGTTCGAGTGTCTATACCCGATCGGGTATACTTATATACTCGATCGGGTATAGCTATAAAAACTACCCGAGTATTGATCGAGTATAGGGCGAATTCGATGTTCTACACATACTCGATCGAGTATGTATATATACTCGATCGAGTACTCGATCCTGCACCTCAAAAAGCCTATAAATACACCTCCTTTCCTTCACTTTTAGTCACCAATTTCTTTATACTCTTAGGCTCAGCTTAGAATAGCATTTCTTTATATTTCTTTTAGCATGTTTAGTCTCCAAATGAGGAGCTAAACTTCCATTTCTTGGTATTGCTCTTGAAGTTTGTTGATTATTAAAGTTGTGAGTTATTTTCTTAACTTCTTTTCCTTGAATATTAATTCTTCCTTTAAATACTATTTCTATATCAATGTGGGGAGTGTTACTAAGATGACAATTAGTTAACATCTTGACATTGGTTTTAGTAATAGCTATTCCTTCCTCTATGTTAATATCGGGGAGTGTTACTAAGATGACAATTAGTTAACATCTTGATATTTAACTATAGTAGGATTCATTCCCTTTAATATTCTTCCTTGAGTATTAATTAATTCCTATTCATATTTCATATTAATATTTTGAACATTACTTAAAGGATCAACTAGTTTTGTTTCACATATTAATTATTACTAGAAACGATCAATGAACCGATGGTTAATCGTTGATAGTTTCACAAGTAAGTAACTTCGGTTTGTTAATGCACGGTCGTGGTTAATAAACTTAAGAGGGATTAATTTTGTTGGTTAAACCGAGACCGTTGTGTTAAGGTTATCAATCTCAATTGATTTCATCAAGGAGTTAAAAGATTAAATGCTACTATCAAGTCGGTATATGGCGTTGTTCTATACTTGACTAATAGTAAGAGTTATTAATGAACGGTTGTTGTTAATAACTATCCTCGATGAATTGGATATACTCCTCGATTGAGTATTCGAGAGGAGATAAGTTATAGATATAACAATGATCGACTAAAATATATCAACAAGTGGAAAGTAGCAATGCCAAGTCACTTTTATCTTTGAATTAAACCACATAACTCGTTCATCTTCGTGTTTAATTTAATCACATCTACAATCAAAACCCCCCTTTTACCTACTATTTATATAAAAAGAAAGTTATTCCTTTCCCTGTGGATACGAACTCTACTTCACCTATACTACGTATAAGTGTTAGTATTGAATTTACTTTGAGTGCACTCACGACAAAGTGCACGTCAATATTCATTAGAAAATATATTTCGAATTGTTATTTTTTTCTCAATTCTCAAATGTAGTTCCTATTTCAAATTAATGCACTTGAACTTTGTTTTTAATAGGAATTTGTATAATATATAATTAATATTTAAAAAAAAAAAACTGGCCCGGCCCGGCCCGGCGGGTGGCCCGGCCCGAACCGGAACCGGCCATTGCCCGGGCCGGTCCCGGGCCTACCTTTACCAGACCCGAGGCCCGCCGGGCCTTGGCCCAGCCCGGGCCCGACCCGGCCCGGGTCCATCACTATTGTGTTTTTAATGTGTTTTTATCTATTTTTTATTTATTCTTAAAGTTATTTTTTTGAAAGACTAAAGAGTCAAATAGACCCTTGAACTAACTTAGAAAGTGCAAATAACCCCTTATATAGGAGATTTTGTGTGGCCGACGTCATTTTGGGCGGTTCCCGGTGGATTTTTTTGATGAAATTTTTGAAGATAACTGCGCAATAAAACAGTGTAGTACATTTCAGAAAATCATTTGACTGTCTTCCTGGTTGAATTTTTATCTGAAATTTGGTGTGGGTAAACTAGACTTAATGAAGAAGATGCTCAAAAAAAATTCATCAAAAAATTTCATCGGGAACCGCCCCAAATGACGATGTCCGGAAAGAGCCTCCTATATAAGGTGTGATTTGCACTTTTTAAGTTAGTTCGGGGACCTATTTGACCTTTAGCCTTTTTAAAAAAAATTAAATTTTATTATTTTAATATTTTTAATATTTTAGAATTGTATTATATTTAATAGGATTAAATAAGTCATAATTTAGAATTAATTAGGTTAGGGGTATTAAGGGTAGAAAATTAATGTTTACTCCAAGAATTAATGTTTAATAACTTTTAAGTTTTGCTCCAATATATGCAATTATGTTTATGTTTACTCCTATATTGGGCAATTCCTATTATTTTATCATCTTGATACTTTTTCCCTTCTTTTCATCTTCTTATTATTTTATTTATTTTCTCTATTTATGTATACAGATTTCCTTTCTGCCTTATCAAACATGCTTTTATAGAATTTATCTTCAATAATGTTTCTATTCTTTTTTTCTTCTCGCTCGTTTTTAACTAAATTCTCTTTTTATATATTACTATTTGATTAATTTTCTTTTTATTAAAGATGTTATCATGCCCTACTCGTCATTGGTTTATTTATATTTATTTCGATTTCTCTTCATCTTTTTTTTCTTCTTCTTACTCTCCTTGTTGCCATATTAAACATTTTTTTTCTTCCACTTCCCTTTCACCGCATCTTTTTTTGCTAGTCTTTGACATTGGTAGTGACGTGTGACTTATTACTATTCTAAGTTTCTTTTTTTTTTGCTTCCCCTTTCAGCTAATCTCCATTCAATCTATCCATGTTCTTGTAAAGATTTATGTCACCCAAAACTCACCCAAAACTGGACCACAATTCAACTCAAAATCAAACTATTTGTCTGGAAATACCTCACAAACTGTCTTCCCTTCCTTGATAACCTAACTAGGTTCAACCTACATCTAGTCACGAGGTGCCCTTTCTGTCTCCACAGTCAAGACACCCAAAACCACTCTCTCTTCTCTTGCCCACTAATCAGACCCATTTGGAGATTTTTTTCTTGTATTATGCAGGTCAGGATGACAACTCACGAAGACTTAAGGCAGACTCTTTATATCTGGTGGATGGGGAGGGAATCTAAAACACTCAGAGATAAACTACGCCAGGCAATGCCTGGGATAATAATGTGGCATGTTTGGAAGTCCTACAACGACTGCATATGGGATGGGAAAACTCTCTCAAGAACACAACTGACTTCACAAATCAAACTATATACAACTCAATGGTGCTATAGCAATCTCAAGAAAAAATTCTATGACTTTGATGCGGATTTGCACACGGAAGGTCTCATGCCATACATCAAACAAATACGAAATCCTAAGCAGAAAATCCAATGGAAAATGCACTCAACTGACGCTCTCATCCTCAACGCAGATGCCGCCTTCAAAAACGGAATAGCCTCTGGAGGAGCCATCCTAAGAACATCAAATGGTGATTTGCTTGAAGCATTCTCTTTCCCTATCACTGCATACAATCCCCTCCAAGCCGAAATCATTTCCATGGACACCTCAGTAGCAATCATTCAACATAAAGGTTATAATAGATATCAAATACAGAACGACGCAACAGTGTGTTGATGTGTGTTTTCTCGCACTTAAAATGGATGTAGTAAAGTGGTGTAAAGTACGAGTATCGTCTCCACAGGGACGGACAGAAGGGAAATAAAGATTAACTAAACTTTAGCGATTAAAAAGAAATAAATAAAATAAAAGTGCAATTGTGCGAGATTGGTTGATTGATTGAAATAAAACTAATGCTAATGAACGAATAAAAAGATTTGGTTTTCCTTAATTAACGACGAAGGGAACAGGAATTGATTCCGGGGTTAACCAGATTTCTGGCAGAACAGGCCTAATTACATGAATTTAATTTAATTGAGCCTAGCTAATCATTACTAAGTTCTTACCGCTCTCGCGGCGTAGAGTACAATAATTTAGGGGACCAGGCTGATCTCTCATGCGACAAGATCCTAAATTATTGCCAAGACGAGCGAGCTTACGGCCCCTTAATCGTTACTAATCTCTTAGCGAACGATTAAGTGTGTGTGAATGTGTCCTAGAACAAATTAGATCTCTCTTAATTTATTCTACATGCAATTGTAATTCTAGCTGCAGTCTAGGTTACAAGAGATATCAATTAAATTATTCAAACACAAATTAAACGGCATTCATGCAATTAAACCGACAAGAATCTAGCCATCAATCATGATTAACCCCTTCATCAACCCCAAATCCCTAATTAAACTACTCACGCCTCATAATTGACGAATCAAAAGAATTGGGATGAATAGAAATAATTGTCATTAATTAAAGAATTGAACTTACAAAGAATCCCAGGTTCTTGGATTAAACAACGTAAAAACGCAGGTAAAACTCGTCCCTAGGCCTCTCTCCAAAGTTCGTCCCTCGAAAAGTGAGTATGAAGGCCTTATTTATAGAAATCAACAAATTTGGGTCGAATTAGGACAAATCGCGGCCAGACACGGTGCCAGGCACGACCGTGCCTGCGACCGTGCCTGCGGAAGAATCGCGTATTTCGCGTCCAGGCACGGCGTGCCTAACTGCCAGGCACGACCGTGCCTGGCCTCCAGTAGCTCCTAGCTTCGTTTTTCTTCAGGCACGGCGTGCCTAAGTCCAGGCACGACCGTGCCTGACCTTATTCTTCAATTTTCCTTCGTTTTCTTGCTCCAAACGCTACCGGATGCCTACGAGGTCGATCCAAATGCTCTTTCTTC